TTTCCTTCCACTGCATAAGTCAGTTCATAGGACTGACTCAGTGTTCAACAGATAATGTGAACACTAATTTATTTTCATCACTTTCTCACCCTATTTAACCATTTGATATTTCTTTTATAAGAGAAATCTGCTGTACGTTCTCTTCCAGTTTTCTTGCATCAATCCTGAATATTGTAAAATCTACTGGAATAATGTAATAAAATATATATTTATATAACCATAAGCATAAGAGAACTATATTACATCCATGGTAAGTGGGATGTAGCTTTCTGACAAGCAAATAAAGATTACGCTCACTTTTCACTACCCATTAAAACATTGTTTAAGTGTTTCCCATTAAAAAAGAAAAAAAAAGTTTTTAATGAAAAGATACTTTAAACGACTAAAAGAATACATGAAGGAGCTCTTTGGACAATGTAAATGTGACAATGTACTCAGTTTAGAGGTTTTTATGTGATTTGCTCTTTCGTGTGGAGTATTCTGAGTCTACACTGCTTCCCCAATGCTGCTTCCTATTTACAACAAGACCACTGGGGGTGGATAGAAGAAAATAGTAGGTATTCTAAAGCTTGCTTTTTTTTTTTTTTTTTTTTTCCCCCCACTCTTAGTTAATCATTTACTATATTTCCATTTGCTACCATCTCTACCTTACTGGAGAGATGCCTGGCCTTGACAGATATTAAAATAGCAATCATTAAAAACATCATTAATTGTAGCTGAGAAGTCTTAAACCCTGATTCATGAATTTTTTAGTGAATTAGGGAAACACATTTGAGGACTAACTGCTGTCAAGGCTAACAGGAGGAAACTGCAAGCACATCCACAATACTTCACAAGTCTGCATTGATTTTCACTTGCACACATTTTTGGCTGTATAGCCTTAATACACTCGAGTCTAATCCAAGTTCTTTTGAAGTTAATGGAAATCTCTCCACTGACTTATACTGTGCTTTGCAATAAGCCATTCATATAGCTCATTGATTTACTGGATCTGACCCTTAAGTTTTAATATTCCTAGTTTTCTCCTCTTAATGAACTTGATGAAATAAGAGTAGATATAAATTGGTGAGATTTGTCCTCTAACCCTTCATTTCCATAGCTTTGTTTACACAGGGACCTGACACGTAAGTGCATTTGACTGTGTTTACACATGCAAAATTTCAGAAAAACATTCTCATCTCATTCTCTAAATTTATTCCTGTTAAACCAATACAGGCTGATTAAGGGAAAGCATCATTTTTATTGTACTTTAGCAGAATTGATTCAAATGCCAGGATATTTCCTGGACATATTTTAGGATATTTCATGTTACTGCAAATTTACTGATTTGAGCAGAGATGCACAAGTTTAGACAAGCTGTGGACATGAGCCTTGATACTTAAATTGTCTGCTGGTCTCTCTCCTCTGGTCATTGAGTTCCATGCACTTGTCCATAAAAAGAGATGAAAAATTGGGTTCTAAAACATGTGCATTTCATATTTTGTTAGTGTCTTAGAGGATGCTTTTTCTTATAACTGGCCCATAACATCTAAGCTTTATCACATGGATGGATGAAGATGTAACAATGCCAGTATTCTGGCATCCACTTGTGCTTAGAACTTGAAGATGCAGACTCCTTATGCTTTCTTTTAGTTTTCTGCTCACTGATACATAGCTAGTAACAGTCCCAGTCTCACCAGATCACCCATCTATCGTTCTTACTGTTTCAAGTTACAGAAGTCTTCATTTCCTATTCTCATGCATACATTTTACAGTCAGGAATCTGGGAGATTAATAAACAGGAATAGAAACTAAATTTTTAGTCTTTTATTCTGTAAAACATCAAATTTAGGAAACTATTCTTAAAATGAAAATGTGTAAAATCAACCAAATTTCTGCTTAGGGAATGATCTGGTCATAATGATCGTGTCTTGAACAATTGTAAATGGACTTATTTATCATTTGATGAGGAAAAACAAATCATGGTTCACTTCAGGTGAACAGATAATAATTCACATTCCTGAGTCTTTAGTCAGGATGGAACCTAAGCTTGTTCTGGCACCAAGGCTGAGAAGCTAAGAGCAACTGCCTTCCCCCTTCCCCTGCCCCACTTCTCTCCCCTACTTCCCCCCTCCACCCCCCCCCCCCCCCCCCCAAAAAAAAAAAAAAGGAAAAAAATAGAAGAGTCAAATATCACAAATATCAGTGAAGATAATTAAGTTGCATGGAAAACTAAGACATCTCAGGGAAAAAAATGAACAAACTACGAAACAACATTGAACAGCCTGTCTGTTAAATAGACTGGGATCAAGAGAGCCATGAGATAAGTGCTATCCTGAAAGCAGCCTTCCCCCCACCCCCCCCAACCAAAAAAAAAAAAAAAAAAAAAAAGAGAGAGAGAAATGAAAGCTGGTGAAGATAGTTGACAGATGAAGCATTGCAATGGGGTGGCAACCTTAAGGTGAAGGATAGCAAAAAGGAGATGTAGGAGATGTAACTAAGAAAGCCAAATACAACAAAAGACAGAGATAAAGATCAAAGAAAAGGACAAGGAGCAAGTATATCCTGAGGGACTCAGATCAAAGAATAAGGCATTAAAAGGATGACAAAAAGAAAAAATAGATTAGCTACTGTTCACTTGGAAAACTTAACAACATTTAGTAGTAAAGACATTTCAATAGGAAATGATAGTATGTTTATCTAAGGAACTCCCATGCTAATATTACAATACAGGGTTCAATAGTAGACTGAGGGAAGTCATTGGATGAAAGAAACTCACTTCAGCTAGGTCGTCTGAGTATGAAACAATTTAAAAACTGAAAAAATAAACTCTAATACTGATAGGAAAACCTTTGTGATGAAAAATTATACTATTGAAAGATACTTGAGAAAGATGGTTTTAATACATGAAGATTGGATCTGTATAGAATGTCATACTTAAAGGACAAATGAAAAGTTTCAAAAAATATGGAGACTATTGGTTGAGTAGATGTAGGGAAAAAAGAATATAAATATGAACAGACTAATATATATGAAACTTGTATAAAACTGAAAACTGCAAAAATTATGCAATTTAGGGGCTATAACCACTTTTGGACTGAGAGAACAAATAAGAAAATAATCCTTTGGGGAGAATGGGTAACATAGGACACATAAAAGTTTCTGTTTTGTCTTGACTATATATTTTACTAATGTTCTAGAAAACACGTTTACCAAAATCCCCTACTAATATCACTCTTCCTTACATTTTTGTAACTTCAGGAATGCATTAAAAGCAAACAAAAAAATGAAAAGAATAAAAAAAGTCTGAATTTAACATACAAAGTTAACATCTAACATGTCTATATCATTTATTAATTTCCTTAGTTGTCTTTAAGTTCAGTTTGGGTGGCGTGTTTTGAGTTTAGGGCAAGTCTTCTGCTGGAGGTCATGTTTTTAATTTCATATTGCAGCTCAAGTCAACGTTCAGTTTGGCTGTTTTGCTGTGTAAATTTCTGCAAAGAGCACTATATGCTGTTCCCGTAAAAAAAAAAAAAAAAAATGTTGCTCATGGATATATAATACATAGAATTCCTCTATAAATGTCTCTTTTGCTAGAGGTGTTGAAAATGTGGCCCAGTTCGTCAAAAACACAGCTGCTTTCCTTGGGGTTTCAGAATGCTCATAACAAGTACATTTTTTTTTTATTTTTTTTTTTTTATGAATTAGTGAGAACACCCTGAGGAAAACAGCTGCATTATTACAGGACCCATGAAATCTCAGATGAGTCTGAACTATTGTATTTTTAAAGGACTGCTACTTTAAAGACTCTCTATTTTCAAGCGATATAATTTTATTTGATTTTTTTAAAAAATATATTTTAGAGGAATATATGACGGTGATTATTTTTAGTTGTCTGGCACAAACTGCTAATACTGAAAGACCTTGATTGTTGCTATCACCCTTTCAAATGGAGGCAATACATACCACCATACTAAACAAAAAACAGTGGCTGTTAGTGCCATTAGGCAATATTTTCTACCAAGCACTTAGCAATTGAAATGAGAATGAGCTGATCCAAGAAGCTGTATAGATAGGTAGATTCACCTCTCAACTGTTTCACTAATCTTTATGTACACAGCTAAGTCAACAGTTTCAAGGCTTACTTTATGGCTGAAGTCCTACACCTTAACAAGTTTGCAGTGAGGAATTCTCATTAGTCTTCCAGAGCCCCTACATAATTTTTTTACTGAAATGACTGGAGAAGTCAGCCTGCTGTCTTTCTAAATATCTGTTTTTCCTATACTGCAAAACTAAGCAGCAAAAATAAGATCTAGGACATTTCTTCTTCACCCGTGCTTTGTTTTCTATGTGACCTCTTTAGATTCGCTAGAACTACCTTAATGCCTAGGTATTTGTGTCTAGAAGAGAATATTTCTAACCCTCTTCATAAGAGGTATGACATTGAACAAAATCTGTCCTCAAAGGTGCTGCATATCTACTACATGAGCCTGGATAGGAAATGGCATTTGGATCCTACATCACAGCATGTATGTACATGGTTCCTTGTGTTTACTGAACCACATAAAAATTTGCTCACTGAATGAGGAAGTGTGGAGTGATATCCCAAGGATGCCCAATACTTTGTTTGGATTCTCAAAGCCAGAATTTATAAAGCACTTGTAGGTTCTTTGAGGAAAGAATATTCTGGAAAAGTAAAGTCTTTGCAGTGAGGAATTATTTCAACTAAATTTTGAAATGAATAGTATTTGGCTTTAGCAGGTAGACTATTACTTGACAAAGCTTATGTCTCTGTCTATAAATCCAGAAAATCTCTGTAGGCACCAGACAAAGGATGATGAAATATAGTGAAATTACTCCTTCCTAAATATGTCTTAAAATATACCTATAGGCTAGGAACAAACTAAAAAGTATCCAGGAAATAAGTTATTATTATTATTATTTAAATTTATAAACAATCTATTTAATTAATTTACAGCCAGCAGAATTAAATAATAGGTGTCTCTGCCATGGCAGATATGAAACGTACTCAAGAACAATGATTCTGAGTCTGATCATTACAACTGAGTCAACCATAAATCAGTTTGCACTGTTACAAAGTCTGCCATCATATGGCACTGTTGCGCAGAGGTGTTAATTTAATCAGTCTGATACTGAAACTTGGCTCCAAGTAGCATGTATTTGGCAGGTACATTTTATAGCTAGTACAGGTGAAAGTTCTATGACCTAAATTGCTACTGTGAGCTACTGTAATTCACAGCCTATTTTATTTTTCCTTAGCTTGTTTCTTTCTGGCCAGCCACACATAATTTTGTAAATATAATTATGCAGAACCTTTTTTTTTTTTTCTAGTTCCTTATGCTTTTGCACTGAGAACCTTTATAGATTGCAAAACTCCTAGAAAGGCTCTAAACAGAAGTGTTCGTGGAAGGAAACATACTAGGGAAAATCCTAGAAAATGCTGGAAATTTCCTAGAAAGTTTCAATATCAAGGGATTCTGGGAAAACATAGGAAAACACTTAGAAAGCACTAAGGAATTCATAGAATGGTTCCAAACAGAAAAACTCCTAGTAAGAAGTTAAGCATTTCTCAAATGTGGTGGGAAATTCCTAGAAATTGCATAAAAATTCCTAGAAAGCACACTTCAGAGTTTTCAGATTAGTGAAATTTCAGAAAGCATTGAAAACTTCCTAAAAAAAAATGCTCAACAATATTTAGAAAGTTTCTAGAATTTATAATTGCTAGAAAGTAGCGGTAAACTCCTAGAAAGCAAGGTGCAATTCCTAGAAAGGTTCTGGGATGAGAAATTCCTGAAAAGCACTGGGGAAGACCTAGAATAATCCTAGACAGAATTCCTAGCAAGTAGTGAGAAATTCTTGGATATTACAAGAAAGTCCTAGAAAAAATTCGGACTGAGGAACTAGAAAATGATCAGAAATTTGTAAAAAGGTTCTGGATAGAAAAAAATCCCAGTAATCACTAGAATATTGCTATCATTATTCATAAAAGGAAGTTCCTACAAATCAGTCAAAACCTAATGGAAAGCTATGGGAAATTTCTGGAAAGTTTCTAGCTATAACAATTCCTAGAAAGGTATACTAGGACTGAGGAATTACTGGAAAGCTGAGACATTCCTAGAAAGCACAGGGAAATTCCTTGAAAGTGCAGGGAATTTCCTAGACATATTTTAAGTTTAGGAATTTGTAGTAAGGACAGAGATATTCCTGTGAAGATTTTGTCATGGTCTCTCCCACCTGTTCTATTTTAAAATGTGTACACTCCTTTTATTTTTGCTTCTTTTTCCTTTGTCTAGAAGGCAAGCAAAAGTCTCCGAGGGAACAACAAATGGACTCTTTAACCATGGGAAGAAGCAGAAATGCCAAAGCTCTCCATCTCAGTTGTGCTCAGCCATTGTAGCAGTTAGTGTGAGAGTTAGGTCTGATTAGCATACCTGTTAATACTGCCGTAGATGAACTTTAACCAAGCTTTTAAGTGGAACTATGAAAACAGCTCCTTGTACTCTTCTCCACCTACCCCAAAAGTAAAACAAAAACCAAAACAAAAAAAAAAAAACCAAAAAAAACCAAAAACAGAATGATTTTTGAATAGGTTTTGAGTGATCAAGAAAATAGATAGCCAAACTATGCAAATAACCTGTTGATGATTAAAAAGTGTAACTGTGTCCAAAAAAGCCCTTAACACACAGGTTGGTAGAGCTCACAACAGCACACATCAGCATAATCTGGATAGTCATGAAGGAAATATTCACTACCCAATCCTGTACCTGTGGAAAATAATTTTCCAGGAGACTCCAAGAGATACTGGGTTACAGACTCCAGAGAGAACCCTGATAAAGGAGCACCTGAGAGACTGCTCCTATGGCACTGCAACAGGGTTCAAACCTCTCTGCAACACCCAAAGACCCCAACAGAGGCCAGGGTCCCCCAGAACCCTGCACAGGGTTTACACAGGCTCATCTGCCTGGTTTGTCCTGGGCCACACCACTGCAACCACAGAACAAGGAAGCCATGCAATATGTAAAATCGATGTATTTGTGATTAAAGTGTTTTGGTATCCAAATATATTTAGCCTCCGCACTGTTGTTTGGTCTTCAATCATAATGGCTATATGAATCTCATTTTCATTCTGCAAAGTGGTAATTTATCATTTCATCTGAAATCGTGGCTAGGCATAGAACAGAACACACGTACAATGACAGTGAGTTTGAATTCCATAGGAAATGCAATATAAAAAGTCAAGACAGACAGTGGAATCATAAACACATACCGGTGAGGGAAAGTACCCAATGCTTTGCAGCAGGACAGCAGCAGATTACAGCCAAGGAACAGTCAGCTAACAAACTCAAAGCCCAGAAAAAGCATGGTCTAAATTTAATTTTAAGCTCACTTGTTATCTCAATTTTGAACTGCCATGGGCACTGCAATACCAATAGTTCTCTGGCAGTACTTCTGTAGGACTGGCTTCCTAGAGGGTTTGTTGAGTTACTTCTTATTACACCAGTCCTATTGCACTGCATAAAGAAGTAAGAAAATGTGTGAAGTTTTTACCTTAGGTCTCCTGAGTCCTAGCTCAGTACGGCCTTTTAAATTTCCCTGCTTCTGTTCAGTGGCTACATATAGATTAGAAAAAGCTTAAGACTCAATTACATGGAATTACCTCCAGAGATTTTAATAGAGACTTTTTTCTTTTTTTTTTTTTTTTTTTTTTTTTTTTCTGGCTGCATCTTTGTATGGATAGATCAACTGAAGTAGTTGCATTTAACCAGAATTTTAATCAAATAGACAATATTTCTTTTATTTAAAAAAAAAATGTTTTAATGCTTAATTTGTTTAAAGATCCACTTCAGTAAAAGCTGAACACTATCAGGTTGTACACGTGGTGAACAGCACTGCTTAGGACAATACAACTACCTAGGAGAGGTAAAGACAACTCCCCTAGATCTATTGTGTCTAGGTGGTGAAGTGATAAACCATGGGACAAATGGCAAAAGGAGGAGGAAACTGAACTGCAAGAGAGAGAGAAGTTACTCCAGTATATGATAGAAGTTCCTGGAATATTCAGTAAAGAAAATGGTGTAATTCCCTGGTCCTCTTCAGCATCCTGGATAGATTCTTAGGAATGTAGGCAATTTTGAGCATTTTATTTGTTAAGAACAGGTTTATTCAACTTATTCCAAAAGTCTTTTTCCTTCCTATTTAAGTAAAGTTGTTCAGCTAATTTAAATTCTGAAAATAATCAAGTACACTGTTATTGTCATCTATACCATACTGCTTTTGTCAGGCAGCCTACAGTCTTGAATTAAGACCCACGATCTTTGAGTTAAAGATGCCATGAGAATTAAAGCATTTTATTAGTTTTAAAGACAATGAACTGAGCTGCAGATAGGTCATATGATGCATTCAAAGTGGCACAGTGCCTTGCTTGGATGTTGAACAGCAGTTATTAATCTGGAAACTGTTGCTCTGAGAACATTACAAATCAAAATCCAATTAAAATTCATCATTGTCTACCTTTAGAAACAAAATATTTAATTCTGGGTATAGACTGAGATTCAAGGTTTTAGTATGTGATTTTGCACTTCCCACACACATCTGCAGGCATTACGGGTCTCCCCTCCTTTGAATGTCAGGTATGAATAGTGCTAAGTAGGCAATATAGATTAGTCTTTGCTCATACAGAGATAGCAATTTTGTTGCTGCAACGAGAGTGAATAATACAGTTATTAATTTTTAAGCCTTCTAGATTTTCTTACATTTCAAAAGTAAAGAAAAAAACAAACTATAACTCTAGGAGAAGCGAGTACCTAGGCCAACCTGTTAGACTAACTCTGAATTAAGACATGAATGCAGTATGCTCACTGTTGCAATAAATACCACTAAATTAGCAATTTATTCTAAGGTTTTAGCATTAGCATTGCAATTTAGGGTTAGACAGGATTGACATTCCAAGATTCTCCAGACATTAATTAAAGCTCTGGCTGTATCATTTTCTGTCTTTATTACAGACACATGATTTTTAAAACCCTTCAGTTATGACCAAAATCCAAATGAAAGATATCTGGGGATCAGCAAGCATTCAAACATGTATGTCTACAATAAATTTACGACTGTATAGCACTGAGAGCCATGTCATAAATCTTCAGTGCCTTTATATCTTCCCACTCTGGTAAGGCTGTGGAATTCAGCTTTAAGTCCTTGCACTTTACTTCATTTAAAGTAATACATTTTCATGTCTAAGTAATTTTTGTGGAACTATATACTCCTTTAAATTTGATCAACTGTATTCACAATAACAGTGAAAATTCTAATTATATTGGAAATCCTGGGATATTCTGTAAAGTCATAACAAGATTCCATCTCTTGATAGGTCACAGAGGGCAAAGCAGATACCAAAATACATGCAAATAAATTAAAAAATACTTTGCAAAATGTCTATATTTTTCCTGTAGAAAAAACTATGCATTGATAGATCTGCATTCCATGTGTACTGATCTATGACTACATTTTTCAGAACAGGAAAATTTTGTTTCTCAGGCACATATCAGTTTGTATAATTCTAGCATGGTGAATTGTTTCCTTTTAATTTTGTCAAGGTGGACTATAATGGTCTAATTATATGATATGATTAGTGTTTCAATTTTATATTATTGATACTCATTTAAATTTTCAGTTTTTGCATATTTTTATTTTTACTTATTTATTGAATGCTTTAGAAATTTGTATTCTAATCAGTAAGTTGTATTCTTATGGCTCACTGTTAGTGTAACAACTGGCATTCAATTTCACTTTGTAGTTACTGTATGTATCATTAAACTGTCAATTAGGTGATCTCCCTTGTAATTGGAATTTCTAGCTTTGGTAATTTATATATTAAATATGCCAGCTTTATGTATATATACATAACATTCATATACATAAAACTGTTTATTTAACATAGTGTCCATATATAAAGTTTATATATATGGATTTATACACACACACATAGCCTTTCTCCTTCCATTACATCTACTTCTATAGTGATTTCATAATATAAAATTTAATATACCTGAGTAGAGTTTTACAATAATAGGCTTTATCAGTTATGCAGTCCCTTCCAAGTGAACAGTAAGAATGTCAATTATCAGCCTGGAATAAAACACAGACACAAGTCTGAAAGTCGATGTATTCAGGATGGGGAACCTGTAGAGTCTTCCAGTCCAGAATCAAAGCACTCAGTGAGTGGCTACTTGGCCTGGGCAGTTTGCCCACTGTAAATGTCTGGAAGGTAACCAAGTGGCCTGCCTGCCTGGTTTCCATCATAAACATTAATTGATTCAACATATTCCAGTAGGAAATTTGCCCTTTGACTTTCCTATATGTAGGAATCAAATGGAAGGATTTGGTAGATGGTTTATTACTCAGGCTCTGCACAGTTTCACCACAACACTAAATATCCTCAGTGTTGGGTTTTTGTTTTGTTTTGTTTTTTCTTAGATTCTGTCTATGTGCCTAACTCAGCGATTACTGAGTCTGGTAAAGTTGGAGTAGCAATTTCAAAACAATGGTAAAAGGTTATTTGAAAAGGAGGAATAGTAGGGTAAGATTTTTTTCCCCTTTCATAACAGTTTTCTCTCAGATAGTTCCTCAAAAAAGCATACCTGAGAGAAACAAAAACAAACAACAAAAAATCCAACAACTCCTAAATTGCGGGATTGTAAATTTATGTACATGTAAAGCAATTTTATTTCCATGATGCACCAAATCAAAACCTAAACATCCCTTTATAGAAATGCACAAATAACGGATAAAGGCAATAACAAAATAATTATATTTTATGTGCTATCATTCAAATTGCCATAAAGCTTCTGAATTAAGTGCTAATTAATATGAATGAGGGCTGCACTGTTGCTATGGGGATAGAAATGGCATAAATCTATTTAAAAAAAAAAATCACTCACACCTCTTGAAGCCATTCTACCAGTCTGTGTAGCCCAGCTACAGACAAAACAAGACTGTAGAATTAATTTACACAGTGAAATTTATATTTGGAACTAGGGTTATATTTAATTTGTAGTGTAGTTAAAAGATTCTTTATAGATTCCAGTGGAATTCCCAGACACACATAACTGATTTAGGAGCACAGGTCCATCTGGCTTTCAAGTGCAAGTCAAGCTCTAAGTCACCTAGACATTTGTTTTGTACTGATTTTAATAATACTTATATCAGGCAGATGAAAAGGAAAAAAAAAAGCACAAATAACAATCAGTTGGAACCTTCATTCTAATCTTTTCCCATCTACATGTTTCTGTTGTGTGTTCTTGCTTGCAGATTATTATTCACATTTTCAAACATGAGAAGTAAATTGCCAGACCTGCAGGGTGAGAATTGCTGACATACATATATGCCAATAACAAGAGAACCACTGATTTCAAGCAGATCTCATACTTCCTAAAGGCTCTTATTGAAAAATGGACCTTGTTATTTCTGTGGAATACAACTTGTTCTTAGTTTACACAGACTCTACTTATTTG